TTTTTACATAACTGCAGTAGTTTATGCTCCACTGTAATATGTGGAAATTTTAATGCAATGATAAAGTTGGAACAGCCTTTGGAATCTCATGTAACTCTAAAATAATAGTTGTTGAAGTCCTAGTTAGAATTGAAACCCCTTTGTGAAGGAAAAACATAATGAAAAACATTCTCTATTTTGAAGGAATTAAATAGTACAAAAACAAGAGATAAATGTATTGAAAACAGACTTGCATAGAGTTAAATACCTCAACTGTATACAGGTGAATGGAAAGATCTTTACAGGAAAGGATTTTGTAGTTACAGGTCCTTTTTCTACACGCAGCCTAAAATTTTATTGGTCCTTCACTTCCAACATGTAATAGTAAACATCCTGGTTAAGTTGCTTATCACTCAGCACTTGATTATTTTTAAATATCTGTCTGACCAGAAGCTCTTAACTGAATTCTTGCAGGTCCAGTTTTATTGCTTTATCTAACTTGCATTTCTTTGGACACCTACAATTATGTTCTGTTCTCAGTAGTGTATGAGAACTATGAAGCCTACATCTTCCCTACATCACTTTTCTTGATTATTAATTATAAAGTTAAAACTGATTCTAACATTGCTATGTTTTTAACATTGTTATGTTCAGACTGGTACAGTGAAAGAAATAAGTGGTTTCCTCAAATCTATTTGATTAGTGTATGCAAAGAGCTACGATAGATTTCTTACCTGACTTACTGCCTGCAGTGAAATAATTGTGATTTTTTTTTATGTTCTCATTGTTTCTCAGGAGAAGTCAACTTATTTTGCGTATCTGAATTTCCCATTGCATTCTGCGTCGGTCACTGGTCTGGACATCTGCATTTGGAAACCCATTCTTGCTACTTGTTCCCTGGATAGATCTGTACGCATCTGGAATTACAAGACAAGGTAAAGACTTGTTTGTGTTTGTTGTTTCCTCTTGGGTTTTTGTATATTGTATTTAGCAGGCAACACCAGCAGTCTCATATGAATCAGAGTGGTGTTCTGGTGAAATTCTTTTGTGGTGTGGGATGTAAATGGTCTTACTGATATGATTTAGGGAGTGTGAATATGCAGTGCTTTTAAAATTAATGCCAAAAGAATCCAAAGCCTTTTCTATTAAGCCATCCTTGTGGGATTGTGAAATCTAACAGATTTCTCATGTGTTTTGGAAAAAAAAATCTTCATGAATGTTTCATTCAGCTTTGACTTAAGATACCGTTTCCCATCTCTTGCTTTGTAGGCATAGTTCTTAAACAAAATGACTCCAGCTTTTCAGGTTTTATGGAGGGAGAAGGGGAGAGAAACAAATCCCAGAAGAGATATTTGTGTAGGATTGCAATTACTGGTTCATTTACCTTCTTCATTATATTACAGTAAACAAGGATTTGCTCTTGCACATTCCACACCTTCTCTGTGAACCAGGAAGTTCCAACTTGCCTTTTTTTCGTGTAACATCTGTGTGATCATTACTTAACTGAATGACAACACATTTCTGCAAGGACAAGGCAGAGTCAGATGGTAGCTGCAGGTGTCCTTGCCGGGCCAGATAATATCCAGTCAAGTGTGCATAGGGAGTTTGTACTATTCAATACTGCACAATGGTTTTCTCTTTCAGCACTTTGGAGCTGTATAAGAAATATCGGGAGGAAGCATACACAGTGTCACTTCATCCCAATGGCCTTTTCTGTTTGGTTGGGTTTTCTGACAAACTACGATTTATAAGTCTACTGTATGAGGACATGCATGTTTTGAAGGAGTTTGCTGTGAGAAAGTGTAGTGAGGTAAGGAGTGATGCAAAAGTGAAACTGGGAAGTTATAGGGAGCAGAGTGGTGAAGAACATGACACAAGAAATAAACCTATCCAATAGTTCCTAGTAGGATTTAGGATATCAAAGCACAGAGAAAGGATTCCAACTATTGGAAAATGAGCCTGGAGGCTGATGCATAACTGTGGACCCAGGAAAAAGCAGAAGGGGTGATTTACTCAGAAATACTCAAGACTGAATTTTATAGGGAAAAGCACCAATTAAGAAAGCAGTAACAGGCTAGTTATGGAGTTTTCTTTTTGTGTAACATTCTGGTATTAGATGATGTCATTGGAGTTCGATGTATGAATATTTTATCTACTGCATCTACAGTAATGGGTCATTATGTTCTTTTCGTAGTGCTCATTCAGTAACAGAGGCCATCTTTTTGCTGCAGTTAATGGAAATGTGATTCAAATTTACTCCAGCATCACCTTTGAGAATATTAATAATCTGAAAGGACATAGTGGGAAGGTTAGTAAACAAATCCTATACAGAACAACTCATTAAAGTATGGACTAGTTGGCAAGATGCATTTTGAAAAGGTCAGGTACAACGTTGGATCATAAATGGGCCCAAAATTAAAAATAGAAATCCAAAAGTCAGTTTTCTTTGGTCAGAAGTCAATGTCTGTGTGCACTAGATACTTCTAAAGAGCCACTCCTTAAATAAAGGTGAATGATTGTCAGGTAGCTGAACCAGGAAAAATATCCCAGTAGTAAATTATAAAAATAAAACATACTACTCACTATTGAAATGAGTTTTTTGCTGACAGTGTATGCATAAAGTAGTTCTTACTGGTTATTTTCTTAGTGCTAAAATATAATTAATTGAGAAACATCTAGGAGTTTTTAAGTAAGACTTAAAAGTATGATTCCAAAGTTGTCATGGATTTACCAGAAAAATTACTCTGTGCTGTATGTCTATAATTTACACATTGGGCTCCTTGATGTGTTTTGCTTTTGCCAGATACATGCAGTTAAATGGAGCACAGATGATGCTAAATTTGTCTCCTGTGACACAAATGGTGCTGTGTATGAGTGGAACTTGTTGACAGGTAAAAGGGATTCAGAGTGTGTGCTCAAGTCCTGCATCTACAGCAGCATTGCCCTGTCTTCTGATGCCAAAATCATCTTTGCTGTTGGATCTGACCAAACTCTCAAAGAAATTTCAGAGTCTTCGGTGAGCTAACAAACACTCTGGGATCTTACTAACTTCTCTGGGAAGGGTGCTAGAGCTTTGGTTTCCTTATCCATTTGGTAAGTAGGAATCTGGTTTTGACAGCTGCGATATTTAGTGACACTTCCCTTGTGTTCTTATGTCCTTTACCATGAAACCTGAGATTCTGTTGTAGTTCTGTATTTTTATAACTTTACTTGGATTTACATAGAAATCTTCTAATCCAGCTAACAAACAAATTTGGCAATATTGTGTCTACTGTTTTGCTGAAATACACCTATATTACATCTACCACTGCAGACTTTTTTGTCCAGAGAGGTAGTAAATTGTATGTGATAACCATTACATCTTTCAGAATGGATCAGCTTGTGGAACTTGGCTTGAAAGGTTAAGGGTGCATATCTGTAAAGCTTAATACTAATTATTGTTCATGGTTTCACTCCTATAGGCATGTAAATTCTGCATTGTTTGGTGCAGGCAGAGGTATGGCAGTTGCTCATGCAATATGTAATCAAATAGTATTGTGGAACTTGTAACATGGGGGTTTTGTGTGGTTTGTTTGTTTTGGTTTTTTTTCAGATCCAGCATGAAGTGCCTGCTTTTGGTGTTGTTTATACTGCAGTCACTGTTTCTCATTCTGGGCACATGGTATTTGTTGGTACCTCTCTGGGGACAATTCGAGCTATGAAATACCCGTTACCTTTGACAAAGGATTTCAATGAGTATCAGGCTCATGCAGGTGCTGTTACAAAGGTAATACTGAGTGTTGCTTTCTTTTCCTTGTGATACCAGCTGCCCATGTCTCATTCAGTGCTGATTCAGCTTCCCATTTCATAGCATAATATGTTAAAACTAAGGTTGAGCCTGCATGTGGAGAATGAGTATGACAGAATTCATAGAAGTCCTGTCTCTAGCAATAGATGTCACTGGATAAGCTGTTGTTGGCTGAAAAGTGGCTTGCACCAGGATACATAACGTGTCTGCTGTTGTCTGTTCCTTCTAAGATGTCCATAACAAACAATGATCTATTTCTGCTGACCGCCTCAGAGGATGGCTCTATATTTGTCTGGAAAGTGTGTGATAAAAGCGTTGGGATACTGAAATGGGAAAAGGAAGCTGAGTATGCTGAGGAAGTGCTGATCATGAGGTCAGATATAGAAGAGAAGGTAGGAGGAGCAACTTGTGAACGTGAATCATAGAATTTCTAGTGTGCAGCTTATGAATTACATTTTCATTATGTTTGTGACTGGCTGTTCCTATTTGGCCTTCTGTTTAAGAGGGCTTGCATGGCTTTTGTTATAAAAAGAGGTTACAGCAGGTAGCTGCAGCTGCTCAGAAATATGCAAACAGATATGAACAATGAGTGTGGAGAAAAGTTTAGCCTTTTCTCTAATACTTTCCCCAATCTCTTGAAAGCAGTTTTAATGTAGTAGAGAAGTCAGAAGCTGCATTTCTATAAACCATCTTGTAGTATAACAAAGGAACCTTACTTCTGGAACTTCTTGGTCTGTCTGTCTGAAAATACTCTGCAATGGCTGTCTTTCAAAAATGTACACATGTAAATAAAACATCCTTAATGAGCTGTTGCTAATGGCAAATAATCTCCCTGTTAAACCTGTCTTCTCATCCATCTCCTAACAGAGTCGGGCTATTCTAGACCTGCAGATTCGTGTGAAAGAGCTACAGGCAGAAAATGATTACCAGCTACGTCTCAAGGACATGTACTGTAATGAAAAAGTAAAGAAATTAGAAGAGAATTTCACCCAGGAAATAGGCTCCCTTAAAACCAAACACCAGGTATGATTCATATGAACCAAATACCAAGAAATCTTTCACTGAAGAGTTTAATTCAAGCTTGCATTATGTATGTATGAATGTCATAAAGCATCAGAAAAATGAAGCATTCCTTTCCAATAAAGATGTTCTTGATGTTTGTAAAGCATGAAGCTACCTTTGAGTCAAATCTGTTGTAAGTACAAGAGGATGCAAGACTTATCCTGGGTGCCCTATATGTGTCTGCACATAAAAACAGTTCCAGCAATAAATGCTGCCTGAGAGCAAGGATCAGTAAGCTATAATAGTAGAAATGGGACCATGCCTTAAAAGCTCCCTCACAAATAACATTGCAGCTGGTGCAGGATCCAACAGTTATTCTTCTTAATGCCACCTTCTTTATGCCCTGTCTGCTTAGCTTTTTTTAAGAGCATCTGCTGAGGTGTCTTGTATGCTCTTCGAAAACAGAAGTAAAATATATTCCCTGGATTTCTTCTGTTCATGTGTTTATTGATTTCTCTGTGGTCACAAAGCAGGACTTCCCTGAAAGGCAAAAGCCACAATAATTCTTCCCAGTGTCTTACTTATCTGTGTCTGTTAATTCTATTCTGTCCATCTGTCTGGTGCACACACCAGATTTATGACCTGCAATTTGCTGTATTTCTGAACCATTTTTAGAGTTAGACAGCAAGTGATCCAATAGCAATTTCTCTGGCAGTAAGATGGCTTGAAGTAAGAGAATACATATCACATGATTAAATTCTGTCAACTTCATGTTCTTTTTGAGCTTTTGGATGAATATTGTTCTGTACTAATGATTGGTTACTGCTTATTTTGTTGAGTTGTACATAGTCCCTTCAAGCAGTATTTCAGTTTGACTACCCATAAAGAAGGATTCCGGTATGAAAGCTTGCCAAGTTACTTACTAGTTTTATTATTTTATGGTCTTATAATTTTCAAGTGCTCCTTTTATACCTTTCTTGTCTTTTGGCCTTACAAGTGTTCTGACAGGTTTCTGATTTTGATTTTTTTTGAGGAAGTTTAATTATTTTGATGTTTTCTTTAAGTAGATCCTCAGGCTCTTTGGCTTTTCTCATTGTGGTTTTTGCATTTAAGTAACCTGAGTTTTAACTTTTCTATTTTTCCTCATTTTTGTACAGCTTGACCTTTTACAAGAAAGCCATTTCACTTCTTATAGATTCCTCTACCTGTGTTTTACCTGTGCTGGTTTTCTTTCTGCAGTTTTTCAGGTCTTTTCATGGGTTGTACATGGCTATAGAGTTATAATAATCTGAGCAACACTGAAACTTCTTTAGGCTTGTTGATTATAGGCTTGCAAGAAAATGCCTTTGATGGTGAATGAAAGTTTTCTAGGCAGGCAAATTGTACTTCCTGTCTGAGTATCAGTATGTGTTAAGATTAAACTGAACAACAGATTTGGACAAGCTTGGTGCTAACCTTTCTAGTTGTGTCCAGCAGGCAAATGGAGCATTTCTGCTTATACAAGACTGACACAGCTGTTATGAAAAGAAAGTTAAAAAATTGTACCTATGTTACAATTACCAACTTTTCTGGGAAATTTCTCACCCATTTTCTTGTTCCAGTTCTTTGTGCTTTTTTAGAGGATTAATTCATTTGTAGTAGTAGTCGGACATTCCAAGGAAATGGCATTCAAACCTCAGATTTGCTTACATTTATGTCATTCTATGCAAATCTGAGTGTTTTAGGACCTCAAAGTTGCTTCAAGTGAGACAGGAAGCAGCTTGAAACTTAATATCTGGGCAACAATTTGTGGAACTGCAAATTCTTCACAAGCAGGCACGCACCAAGAAGTGGAGGCTTTCATAGCTCACAGACTTTTATGGTTAGATTAGGATTATACAGTACCCTGTATTACATGAACTCCATTTACTACTTTTCCTTAGTTTTCCATAGTTTTGTAACTTGTCATGACAAAAAAATCTCTGGGAAACCTTTGCTTAGTGACATGTGGCATCTGAATTTTGGTGAGAGATTTGAAACATAAATTCCGTTGTATGTGTGTTCCTCAACATGGGCAAGAGCACAAACAATTTAGACACTGCTTTGCCTAGTTTAAAATTAAATGTATTTTTCTTTTTCTTTTTTTTTCCCCAGATTGTGCAGGCAGAGAAAGAAAAACAGGAGCTACAACACCAGTTTCAACTGTCTGAACTGATGAATAAACAGGCCAGGGAAATGCAACAGCTAGGTTAGACTATAACAAGTGTTTGCAACTAGAATTTGGAGGAAGTGCATTAGATTGATAGCAAGTAATGTGACAGGGAGGGATTAATAGAGCACAAACACAAGGAAAAATGCATGTGTGTCATACAGGTATTACAGACCAAACATTTGTCTGAACTGCACCACACACAACCATGATAAGAACATGCACATGGGCACTGTATCTTTGGTTTTTGAGATTAGTAATTTCTTCATTTTATAGCTCACTGTGCAAGAATAGTGAAGTCATACAGTTCAGCAAGGAGGCTAATGTACAAAGCACACAACATGGAAATACCTGAACCCCAGATTCATAATCAAGATAAAGGAGAAATACTGCAAATTAGTACCAAAAAGCAAGCCCACCCATAAAGGAGTCCATTGCCTACTCATATGCCGTATCAGTTGTACTTATACAGCTCTGTCACGGTTGTCATCTCAAGGGAATGCCTAAATTAGCCATTATTAACTTATTGTAAAGACAAAGTAGGAGATTTTGGGGTAGGTTTTAGACTTGCTCAAGCTGCAACAGAGCAACATTCTGTCCCAAGGCAGCAAGCGGGGGTATAGCAGGATATTCAGAGACACAACGGAGAAAGGTGAATGACAGCTTTGGAACAAGCATTATTAGTGAAGTGGTAAGTAAAAGGAAGAGCAGGAAACTCAAGAGATAGTTTTCTGTTGTAAAATTTTGTATGGCCATGGATTCTAAAACCCCTGATGAAGAAAGCAATTAAGTGCTTCTAGTGTATTATTGCAACAAGCTGCCAAAAAGATAGTAGAGAATAAGACGCTGATAACTGTAGAAGGATAGGATACACCTCTCTTTTCCATTAGTTTTATCCATTCCATATGTTTCCTCTTACCAGAATCTGACAGTAATCAGAAACTCTTAATGGAAAATGAGAAATACCAGGAGCTGCAAGTGAAATCCCACAGGATGCAGGAGCAATATGAGAAACAATTGCACAGTTTAGAGGAAAGCAAAAGCAAGGCTGTGAAGGAGCTAACAGAATATTATGAGGAAAAACTTAATGAGAAATCTGTTCTGCTGGAAGAGGTAGGAAACTTGATTTGCAGTTTGAATTATTGACTAAGTTTATCTCAACTGTGATAAAATGTTCCCTAGGAGAGGAGAGGCTGGCTCCCTCCATGCAAATCCTGATCTGCCTGTAACCTTGGGGAAATAAATTGACAGGTAGAATACTACTGAGGAAAACCTAGCTGAGTTACCAACTTTTCTGGGCTTCATACCTTGAGTAAGTAACCTGCTAAGATTAATATCCTTGGGCATTCTCAGCTTCACCTCTCTCCTAGATCCAAGAATTTCTGTTTATTAATGTGGATTAGATGATACATTTATTCTAATGGAAGAAAGAAAGATTTTATCACCTTCTTCTAGTGAAGAGATAACATTTCTAAAATGGTGAATTCCATTTGCGAGTCCCTGAGGTTCCTGCCTGCATAATTTGAGGGACGAAGAGAAATACCCTGAGTACTTCAAAAACATCGAGGTCAAAGACTTGGCTTGACAAAGGGCAACCAGATAACTGATGCTTATATATCTAAAGTCAATAAATTCTATCAACATTACTGTTTGCAGCCCTGTGTTGCAATACTAATTTGGAAAGAATGTGAGGAATTAATGTGAGAAGAGAGGCATACAGAGAGTGATGCAAACTTCAGTGGTTATTGGTCCTAATGCACCAGAACCAGCAATTTAAAAATAAGTTCGTGTTACTCATGTTTGTTTTTTCTGCTGCCAGAATGAGTTTGCTGATGTTAGAATTTGGACCAGGTTCCTAACTTGAAGCATTCAAACCTTAACAAGATTTTTAAAAAAAAATATTTTTTTATGTTTGTCTTAACAATTTTTAAAGTTACTTTAATCCCCTAAGAAGTTATCTTAAATTATATTGCTGCAATTGAAGAGTCCATTAAATACAGGAGAAACACAGTTACAAATCAAGAATTCTCCTCTTCTTTATTGCTCTCTTACTGTTGTCTTCTCTAATCTTTGCTTTCCTTAACTGCAGGCACAGGAGGATATGAGGCAGCAGCTTCAAGCACATGAAGAAATTAAGAAACAAATTGAAGAAGATGTAGACGAAGAAGTACTGGAAATCAAAAACAAGTATGAGAGACGGCTCTTGGAAGAAAAGACATCAAACCTGCAGCTGAAGGGAGAAATAGGAATCATGAATAAAAGGGTATCTCTTACTCTGTGATAGGATCAGACCTGAACATGGAAACCTAAAGCCAAGGGCTGAATGTAATTAATAACATGTCAGTTTAGTCTGTTAATTTAGTTTATAAATATGTGGCATTTGATATGTGAACAGTAGCCCCTTCTTATATCAATTTGAATGTTTTAGAATATTTGGGCAGAAGAAGCAGCTGTGTGCTGATTCTATTGCTAATATGATTAGAGATAGATAATAGAGGAGGTGTGTTTCTATTAGTACATTTTCTTTTATCTTACATAGCTTTAAATTATAAATAATAATCTTGTTCATCCTATGATGGGACATAAATGAACCTTTTTATTTTTCCAAGATCTAATACATTGCTTTGTTAGAAAAATACTTCTACTGCTTCATTCAATGCAATAAACACTTTGTGTTTTGTAAGCATCATCATTTTTTATTGGTTTTACTCCTAGGATTTTTAAGGAGGCATAAAACCTTTTAGCTCCTTTACTGTCTGAGTATTACATTTGCCTAAGGATGTTAGAGGGACATTTTTTCTTTTCAGTTTCTTCAGCATCTATCTGGAGACAGAGAGGTTCTCTTCCTTCCTACCCTCTGTTACCATAGTATTGTCTTCAGTCCCATTGTCTTTCAGACACTAGGAATTTCTTCCTGGGTCCTCACAGTTCTATCAGCACCATTCCTTGGTTCCAACCTTCTTGGCATCACAGATGAGGCAAGGATTTTGAGGGTACCCAGGAGCTATGAACTAGGCACCCTTCTAGTCTACTTTTTACATCTTTAGAGATGTATGAGAAGTGATCATCCTAAAATAATTTTCCATGGCTTGACTGTTATTTGAAGTTCATGCTTGGGTATAGTATCCATACGCTTCTTGCTTCTGGATGCAAATTCATTGATTCCTTGTAGTACAGTGAATATTCTGTCAGAATATAAAGAAAATGCAAAAATGGATATTCAACTCCCTTTGAGTTACAGGTATTTAAGTGATATGATGCTCCTTCATCATATCTTAATTTGATATCCTTTATCCCACACTGTCTGCAATGTGTCTGACAGAGTAGGATGGCTAAATCGTGCACAGCATTTGGAGACTGCTAAGTTCTTCCTTGTTTGCCTCTCTAGTTGAACAGCCTACAGAAAGAGCTCAAGGAGCGAAAGACTGAATCTGGGGAAATGAAACTGGAACAGCAGAAGCTGCAGGGCATCATTAAGTCACTGGAGAAGGACATCTTGGCACTGAAGACAGAGATTCAAGAGCGAGCCAACACTATCCAAGACAAGGTGAGAAACTGGACAGTTGGCTGAGATCAAAGTCACCTTCCCTTAATTTCATACAGATATTTATTTTAATAGTATTGTGTAGTGATAATACCACAGGACTGGAAACTCAGTTTTAAGTTAAAGAATTTGCAATTTTTTGTTTGGGACTTTAGTTTTTTCCTGACATTCTAGGCTTTTGGAGAACTCAAGTTCAGGATGTTGAGTTTCTCATCCTCTGTTCTGGGATCTGCAGATGGCTCTCTGCATTATTTGCCCTCTCCCTTCCCAACCCGTCTGTGTAGATGTGCAACTGAAGTCATCTTCCACTAGATCTGTGACTGCTGGTTTTACCTCAAGCATATCTGTGCCTAGTCCTAGGGATCTGTTTGAGAGTGCTGTGTCTGATTCAGATCTCTGTACCTACTTCTCCCAGGAGAAGCATATATTTGACCTAAAAAAGAAAAATCAGGAACTGGAAAAGTTGAAGTTTGTACTGGATTTCAAAATAGAGGAGTTTAAGAAGCAAATAGAGTCACGTGAAAATGATATCAAAACAATGAAGGAGCAGATCCATGAGGTGAGTAACACAATTTGGCCTCTGGTACTAAGCCCTTTGTATGAATACAAAGATGACCCAGCAAGTCCCATGGAAGACTCCACCCTGTTTGTTCCTTGACTTCTTTCAAGGATACACAGCACTGATTCAATATCTTTACAGCTAATAAAAATATTTGCACACAATAGCTGCTGTTTAATTTTCTGTCATGTGCTACTGGTGATCGACACAATTATTTAAGCTCCTATTTCAATATTTAATTCTAGACTCTGAGTAGTATCAGTTTTGCTTAAAAACAGATCTTGTTCTTGTGTGGTTGCTTTCCACATACCCTGTAAAGTTTGCAAGACACTGCCTTTACTCATCTGGAGGAAGAGAGAGTGAACTTCTCTCAGAAAAGTTGCAGATCTATGCAAACATAACTCTGTTTAGGGGTTAGGTGCATGGAGAAATTACTGTTCCTAGCAGATCTGGGGAAAATTTACATGTATTCATACTTAGCTTGCAGCAAATTCACTGAGGCAAATTATTTATGATAGAAACTTACTGTGATCTCTCCATAGATGTACCTTTAGCTCAGCCAAATTAGGATTATGGTGACATAGCTAATCAATGACCTATTAGTTTTCCTATATCTGTTTATGTAGAACAAAAGCCTTTTAAATAAAATGAAAACTAATGAACAGTTTGTATGTATGTCAGACTAGCATGATGAAAGCCCCATTCTCTCTTCTGGTCACCATTTTATGCCAGTAAATGCTGTAGTACTCTTACTGCTTTTTTTTCCCGTGTTCTACATATGTAGCCACAGCTTTTCAGTGTATTTCTTTATTTTCAGTATCAGGTTCTTCTTATTGCTGCACTTATTCTTTCCACTATTGACTGTTAATTTCCGTCTCACCCATTTTTTATTCAGATGGAACAGTAAAGCTCCAGTTCAGCTCAAGGAAATGAATGGGCACCAAATCATTTAAATACCTGTAACTCAAAAGGGAGCTGAATATCCATTTTTGTGCTTTCTGTATAGTCTGACAGAGGGCAGTGTTGTTTCAAAATTGACTTTTTTCGTGTTGTAATTCAGCCTGAAGGGGGATCTACTCCCTCAAGTCTATATTTGCACTCTGGTTTTCCTGTTATGTGTTGTTTTATCATGTCTCCTTTTAGTCCTGATTTCCTCCTCCTGCTTCTTTTCAGATGGAGGGGGAGCTGGAACGATTCCGCAAGGAGAGCACACAGTTGAAGCTGAACATCACACAACTGCAACAGAAACTAAAGGCAACTGATCGTGAGATGCACAGAGAGAGGCAGAAGGTATGAGGTACAACCACTGTGCAAATCCTACATGATGAAGTTGATGGGGACAGTACACTGCAGAAGCATTAATCTGAGCAAAGAGGTACTTCAGGGATATTGTGTCCAAGGACCAGGAGAGTCTCTGGTTAGTGGGGACAAAGGCAGAAATCTTCCAGCCTGCAACCAGGTTAGAGAGCTGATACTAAAAAAAATCCAGTTATTTATGTGCCATTTTTTTCAGTTAACACATATTCCCCCGGGTTTAACAGAGCACTGAGGCAAATGCTTAACTGACTACCCTTTCCTGCCCAAGCTTGAAATCTGGGGACATTTTGCCTAAACAGGAGCAGTACCTGCAATGATATGTAGACATTAGTAGGATGACATGAAGGGTAGGCTTATTAATGGAGAAAACAAAGACCCCTTGTGTTTGACAACAAGCATGTCACACATGAGGGAGGAAAAGGGACTGCAAGTGAAAGTGAAGGACCTTGGCAGGCAGTGCAGGACTGAGGAAGCAGGTAGAGGGGCCTGGTAGAAACCAAGTGCGAATGAGAAGGCAATCTTGATGTGAAATCATCAAGTTGTGCATGTGTCTGATATGTGTTTTGTCCATTGCCTTCTCTCATTAACTATTTGCATGTTGTTTCTAAATAAGAATGTAGGTTTTTTGAGAAAGGACAGTGGGGGATAGCATTCATGATAATAAGCCACTGCTTTTCAGATGAGACCTCTGGATGCTGGCACTTACATTACCTAATCCAAACATCTTGGATTAATATTACTGCTAAAACTTATCACTGCTATCCCACATGCAGTGCTCACATCTCCAGCAGGGGTTTTTTTATGCCATATTTTTTAAAAATTGAGTGGAAATAAAGTATATGAGAGCTTTCACCAGTTCTACTAGACTTTCTAGAAAACTGCACATGATAGAGTGTTCTGATGAGCCAAATAAGAATGTGCCTACATCATTCTTGCAGAAGCAAAATATGGAAGTTCTCGTCACACGATTTAAAACAGATCTTCACAATTGTGTGGGCTTCATTCAGGATTCAAAAAAAATGAAGGATGGGATCCGTGAGCTCTACACCAAGTACGTGCAGCAATCAGACGTGGTGAGTCAGAGCCTTTGCCTTCTCCTCGCAGATTAATTTCTCTGGTGGTGTAATTACTGAGGCAACATGCTGTGCCCCCTTAGGTGGAAACTGAAGCAGCAGACACAGATTTGCAGCAGGAGTACATGAGACAGCGAGAGTATCTTGAGAGGAATTTGGCAGCTTTAAAAAAGAAGGTGGTGAAGGATCAGGAAATCCACCGAGCTGCTTACATGCGCATCATGCAGGTAATAAGCCTTTCCCTTGTGGTATGGGGAGGGAAGAAGGAAACAGCTGCACAAAAGAGACTTTAGTAGCCTTACTGCTGTGGTTTCTAAGGCCTTTGAAACAGTTTTGGTTTATTTCCTTGCCAGAAATTCCTAGGTTTTTCAAGTGGTTCCATTCAAGGATTATATTTGTTGAGCTACTGAAGCTCTATAATTTTCTGGACAAAAGTACAAGATCTCTGAAGTCAGAAATTGCTGCTGTTTTGTGGATACTTTTGTTTGTCTCCCAATCCCTAATGTAAAAGGAGATAGGGAATCTCTGCTGCTTGGATATTTTTTAAGCAAATAATGTACTTATTTTTTATCTTAAACAGTATTTATAATTGCCATCATAGTCAATTTGCACCTGTTTGAGTGCTAACCTGCACTTGCTGTGTGGCATTGTTTAGGAAGTAATTTTGGAGGAAGAAAATAAAAAAGAAATAATATTTCCTTTCTTTGGACACATATTCCCACAACTACTGGCCTGAATTTAGAAGAACTTTCTGCTTTTCACATCCAGGTTTTTTGAGGAAGTTCAGAAACACATTATGGATATGCCTATTTTTACCAAGATCTCCTGGTCAGAATCTTTTTTCATTACAAGGCAAGATAAACTTGTGACTGCTGGGGCCAAAGAGCCAATTTGTTTTCCTCTGGAGTGAGAGGATCTAAAGCCCCACAGCAAACATCCTGGGAGGACAGCTCTTTTGCTGTCTCTTCTTACCATGATCTCCTTCTGCTCAGTCAGCATTTCCTTTTCCCCTCACTAATCCTTTCTTCATTGTTACTTTATTATGCTTCCTCAGGATCATTAGACCTCAGTTCTCTCCTAAGTCATCTGCTCTTTGCTATTTATTCATAGTGCTCCTTCAGGCCCAGGCAGCAGCAATCTTCTTCCTTGGCCCTGTTTTAATTTTTTTACTCCTTCTGTGAGTTAGATATTTCCTTTGGCACAAAAGGAGATGGCTTCAGAAAATAACCTGAAGAATTTCCTTGCTGGAATAGGGTGACAGATGGTGCTCATAATAATACTTGATGTCTTGGATCAGTAAGCCTAACATGAAAAGATGATTAAAACCAAATTAATAAAACATCTGGAAGATGAAGATATCAAAGGTTCTAACCAGCCTAGTTTCTTCAAAGAAAAAGCAGTTCTCTGAACTCTAGTAGATTAATGAGACTTTACAGCCAGGAGGAATTATCATGGTCGTCCAGTCCTTCCCAGGGGGCTTTTAAGACTAGTTTAGACAAACTTCTGTCAGAACTTGCTTTTAAAAAGTAAATGACATCTTGACGGCCTTCTAGCTCTGTATTTCTATTATTCCTCAGTTGTGTTTACATTTTCAGAGCTATGCATTCCTCTTTGAGTGACTAGTCATAGGTACATTCCACTAGTGACTGCTGCAGCAGATGATTAGAACTGTCAAGATAATTTTAATTATCCTTACCAATTGGCAACGTGCTTTTCGTTAGACTATTAATTTTCCCTCCAGCTTCCTGTACTTGTACTGGCTTCTTTGGTCACGTGGATACCTAAGAACACACTCACTGAATAATCTTGGAGTAACACTCCTTGAACTAAAGCATGTGTAGGATGATCTTTTCTATATGTCCTACCTGTCTCTGACAGTCATCACTGTAGGAACTTCCTAGGCTGTAGCTTGCATCCAGACATCATATGCAGTTACACCTGATGGCCTCATCCTCTATGCATTTGATCAGTCTCTATTCTGAAACTGTTGGTACTTTGCCACAACATCCTACGACAATGAGTTTTACAATGAACGTTTATTTTAATCCATGGCATGATCATTTCATTGCAGTACAATCTTTCTGTCAGAATGCAAAGATTAAATTAAAGGCTAAGCTCTCTGATAGCATGGTTCTGGAGAAAAATATCATCAGCAACAACCAGCAGCCTTTAGCACCCAGCAAACCAAACGAGATTTCTTTGTAGTCCAGGTGGCTTCATACAGGATACTATGTATTCTGCCATCTAATAGATTGAAAGCAAGATATTCAGCTGATATCAGCATTCAGCCACTTGAATTTATGAAGGTGTTCATGACCAAAGTACATCTAACAGAAATGGTGTGACATAACCCTGAAAGCTGGTCAAAAGAAAATCTCCTTGACTGATTCTTTCCCATTTGTGTTTAAAGACTTGAATTAAACAAGTTGGAGTCAACAAAATATGGTTTCAGAGTAAGCTGCATAAGCTCACCAACTCATGCTGCATTTAGAGTCCACCACAACCACTGCAGGGGCAATTGTTCTTGCTCGACAAATTCAAACCTTAACGCATTCCACAATCTGCCTCCAGTCAGTGACTTTCAGCTGCGAGGAAACTAAAGCACAGTTGGTGTACTTGTCGTAGTGTGAAGGACTGGGAATCTTGTCACATACGTGTATCTTGAGTTATTGGTGCCAACTTGAACTCCTTGAGTGCATCTATATACAGATAGTTGTGGTAAGTGTTGTACGTTGTTACCAGCCAGTTTTCAGTTGTCTGTTTCTACTACATTGACTCTCATGTGGTGCCATTACTTTGTAAGTAAACTGTAAGGAACTGATCATATGCATTACATAAATCTCTCAAGACAACATAATTATCTTTATCAACCAAAATTATGATTTAAAAAAAATCAATATTTGAAGACATGTTTTTCATAGGAAAATATCATTAATTGTTCTTATTTCCTGTTGTTTTACTGGGTTCTCTATTGCTTGAGACTGGTATTATTTGAGGTACCCAAAGCAGGCCTTTTGACCATTTATCTTTTTAAAATATTGCCATTTGTGATGAAGTTCCAGGGGTTGGATTGGTGCTGTGTTCCAAAACCTCTACAAAATCACCACAGGTAGCTGAAATCACTGCTATTCTTGGTTCAAGTATGATGGCAGCTGTTTAATATTTGCACTAGCTGTTGATGTGATATGGTATTTCATTGTCTTCGTAAGAGGCAAATAGAGAATTCCACTTCTCTCAAATTCAGGAAAGAAATGCTTAGTTAATGGTGCTCCTGTTTCTGAACCATGAGCAACAGTTTTATCATCCTTCACTAGTATTATCCCCATCTGTTTTTGCTGAAGTCATTGAATCTATTGAAACAATGGTAAAGTACATTCACTTGTACTTTCACAACTCCTTCAGCAAGATGCTTTGTGATAGGCTATTAAAAAAAAATCAGAGAATTGAACTTTTATGGGTTGAAAACTGACTAAAAAAAGAACAAAAGATGAATACATGGCTAACTCTTCCTCATAACAGCATGTTAGCAGTAGGTATCTCAAGTGTCTATATGCTTTATATATTTATTAATAATTTGGAAAGAGAGTTGGGCAGCAGTGTCGTTAGAACTAGTGAAGAGGACTTTGAAGAATTGCAGGGAGATACAGGTTATTTAAGTGAACAGAGACATAGTGGCAAGTGAAAAGCAAAGTAACACACACTGGAGAGAGAAATGGGAGTTCTCCACGTTAATTCTGAAATAATTGGATCAATTGAAGGAGGGACCTGAGCTTCCCTGTGGAACTGGCAAGGAAGATGATATCTCAGAGTGCAGCTACAGACAGAAAAGCAAAACAAATATTAGCTTATTGAGCTAATATAGTCTGAATACTGTCCTGTTTTGTATAAAATCTACTGTGACCTTATCCAAAATGTTGTGTACTATACTGATTGCCCTAGCATAAAAAAGTATATAGTATTTTCTGCTAGTGATACTGATTCTATAATGTCCAGTGTCTTTCCCAAGGAAATGAAGATACATATTGCTAAGCCGGATAGTGCCTGTGCTTTTCCTCATAGGAGATATTGTTTTTGCAGGAAAATGTGAGTCTGATTAAGGAAATTAATGACTTGCGGCAAGAACTGAAGGTGGTCCATGCCCAGGTGCATGACCTCCAGTCAGCACTAAGATTAGCCAAGAGAAAGCAAGCAACTCAAGACACAGGTGAATAGTGCTTCTTGTATGTTTTCCGTATCATTTGTACTCATTTCAGAAGCCTTTTTTGTCCTCAGTGAACGATTCTGTTATTGTCTCCATATCATTCCATCTTGTCTGCCTGGTGGTACCTGCTATATTGTAATGTTAGCTGTAGAAGCTGCTAAATACTGAAGAATCTTACTATTTAGCTCTACTCCTTCAGCCCTGAAAGATGTCTTTCCTTGCTTATGCCAAAGAACTCTGTAAGCTGGACCTTTGTTACTCTCCTCTATCCTCTCTGATTTTTATCTTCTAGCTCCCTCCAGTGAAGTGCTGTCCAGCCCAACTGTCCTGAGGTTGAATGCAGAGAAGGAAAATGAGAAAATAATAGAAATGCAGCAGCTAGAAATTCAATATCTGCGAGACAAAATCCAGGAGAAGGAAAAAGTCCTTGAAGCACAGCCTCTCTTAGATGGAAATCTTCCTATGGTGAATCTGTAAAGAAGCCACAAGACAGAGCAACAGTGACCTGGTTCAAGGATACCTTACATTATTATATTCTCCTGGCAAGATGAGAAATGCAATAGCATAGATTAGAGTTCCATGATCCTAAACTCTTCCACTAGAAGCACTTGTGAAGCACTCACTGCTCTGAACACAAGGCACCAACTTTCATTCCCTTCTACTTTCCTGGAATCTGCCCTTTCCAGGAGGCCGAGGAGCCAAGAGAAAAAAAAATAAATTTGTGTTAGTGCAAGACTGATCTTTGTGCCTTCATGCTGGGGCAGGTACACACATTTCTCTTGAAAAATAATGTGTTCTAATTCAGGAAAGCTCATCAAATTCTGTAAGACTTTTTTGCTAGAATTCTAATTTGGTGTCATTGTGCTGCAAAAATCAACAGCAGCCTTTTATTTTCCAGTATTGAATTGCTTATATCCATACAAGGCACTGCCTGTACTTAAGACAGATGTCAGTGTTATTCCAAGCAGGTATCCAGTCACAGACTAAAAATCAATTACCCTGTGAGGGCAACCTTTAACTAGTGGTCAAGCACACCTGAGCTAGGCCCTTGCTCAAACCTCTGCGTCCTGTCTAGAGAAATATTGTCTCATACTTTACAATCCTTTCAGCAGGACAAAAAGGCAGCCCAGTTTCAGACTCCAAATCTGTAAAAAAGTCCAAACCTTATGTCATAAATCTCCTATAACTTTGATAAATTAATTTTTGCTTGCCTTTTTTCCAACATCTGTAATCCCTTTAGTTCAGCTTTTCAGTGACATTCTCCCAAAAGTCACTCTGCAAAGTACTCATGTATAGAAAAAGGTAGGAAGTCATTTCTTTTATAATGAGGGGGTAAAAAGTAAATTTTGCACTGTCTCACTGGGGACTTCACATACATCAGAAGTTTAGGCTACTGACTGAGCATGGAGAAACATAGTATTATAACAGCCAGTGTGTTGCTGTTTCCGTTTCCTGTCCTGAGTTGTAGAGAAGTGACAAGTGCTTTCTACAGGCTAATATTAATATCAGACAGAAGATGGTGGTGCCAAGGCTGGGTAACATGTAAGCTGTGTTACCATTAGGAATACCAGACTCATTTCCAGGCTAACACCGTGGCAAAACAGATGATTCCACGAGCTCCTATGACCTGTGAGACTTCAGTTGAGTGCTTGGTCCATGAATGTGGAATTAAGATTCTTTAGTCTTACTTTCTTCATTTTGCAGTTTTAACCCGTATGAAGCATAGATTTCACAGGAACAAAAAGAATAATTCTGGAATTGGTCTGTTAATGTGCTCACTTAACACCCTTTCTTCCTCCCCACCTCCCCATATAATCATCTTGATACTTCCTGTGCAGAAAGAGGATGTAATTAATGTAATTAGCAAGTATTTTAGAAACTCGTTCCCTCTTAAATCTTCAGAACACACCCATTCTAATTTGCTAGACTCCCATATGGTATAATTTTCCCCTCTGTCAGAATAAATTGAGTGGTAGAAGCCACTGCTTTAGTAGTTGTGGTTTAGAGAAATGGAATCAATCTTTCTGAAGAGGAAGAACCTTGTCCTAATAAGAAAAAGATGTGTATACAGGTGAAGAATGATTTCTAAGTGGTAATTAACAGGCTTAAAAGTATGCCCGTGTGTCACCCTCATTAGAAAGATTTTAAAGGCAATACAAGGCCTCAGATGAAGCCTAGGCAGACAGCTGGCAAACTAGTTCAAGAGGATTTTGAACTTGATGTTAGTGGCTTAGAGGCAGCTCAAACATTGTTTATAAGGGAGAAGATTAAAAGTCAGGCACAGCAGAGTGTAACAACTGAAGTTTATCAGAGACCTGCTGGAAGCAAATAGATGTGCAAGCCCTTTCTATACTGGGAAAACTATACCAAGGTCAATCTCCCACACGTGTGCTGTAGAAATGTTTTCAGAATTAAGTTGTAACTGGGTATGGTTTTGTATGCTAATAGTCTTCTGAATTCTCTCAGGGTGCAAAGACACTTTCCGCTTTCATCCTCTCTTGGTCTGCATTGTCTGCTTCTCCTCTTGGTAGCTGTCTATAGGAGCTGGTCAGCATCTCATGCTCTTACAAAGTTAATATATGGCTCTCTTTAAGGTTGAATAATGTTTCCCATTGGAGGACATGTTTGTTAACTGTCCCAACCGAAGGACAAGGCTTTTCTGGGTAGGGGCAAGCTCCTTGTTCACGGGTGTTTGTATAGGGAAATCTACCACATCCCATTTGTTGTTTTCAGTTTAGGACAACAAGCAATGGACAGATGATATTTCACAAGTTTCAAAAGATCTGTCAGATTTTACTCAGCCAGATTCCTGAAGCTGTCACACTAATTGGTGTCTATTGTATTAGCATATCCTAAGCTTCTCTTATAGCCTGATAAAAAACTAGCATGCAACTTAATAACTGAGCCTCCCTTTCCATTAGTCAGGCAAGAGCTGTTGTTCAGCACCATTCTCTTATTCCTACATCTCCCAGGAGACTTTCCAGCTGCTAAGACTCATAGTAGTGATCCCTTCTGCTGTCATTAACCCCAGCCACAAAGGAGGAGGCATCTACTCAGTCTGGGAGTCCCATTCCCTTTCTGACTTCAGTGTTCCTGCTACTCCCTTTTTTTCTCTTCCTCTGTCAAATGTATCCTTTTCTGTTTCCCTAATTCCTCTCAAAATGGTCACCCTTTTCTTTCTGCTAGATTACCAGGAAGTCAGCTCTTCTGCAGTATCGTAGGCTCTGCTGATGCTGCTGTCTCCCAGGGAGGGAGTGCTGCAGCTGGTGATGGGGAGACGGCACCGCAATGACATCTTGCCTGACTTAAGTGCCTGCCTGGACTAATGCCATACAAAGATCCAGTCCTGATGAGACCAGATGGCCCTAGCCTATACAGTAGCGCAAGGGCTATTTTATTTAATATCACATCATACCAAATACTTGCTGAACGTGTTAAATCTTCCCTGGCACTGCCAACCTGGCTGCAGGCTTCCTCTCACCTGCTTCCTGGGAGCTGCTCCCTGCCTCTGGCACCCCTTCACCTCCAGCTGGGAGGAAATGAGCCACCTTCCAGGATCGGTGCGTGGCCAGATCCTGCCTGGGGAGGGAGGGAGGGGTAGTCCCTGCACACCAGCGTGGCTCTGGAGCCTCTCCAAGGCCAGCAGCAGGTTTGCTGAGACGCCACCCTGCTGGGGAATGCACCTGCCCGGGCGAGAGGTGAGGGCTTGCCGCCTATCGCCGGTGCTGCCTGCGCCGCACCAGGAAGGGGAGCCAGCAGGAGCACCTGTTTCTTGGCAGGTGGTTGCCAAGGAAGGGAAGAGATTTTCCCCGCGAGCTCCCTCCGTATCTCGATCCAGTGGAAGAAAAGCCAGGAAAATCCACTGCTGCCAGGCAGGAGCAGGGAACAGTGCTGGGCTGTCGTGTGTGAGCAGCGTCTGCCGCAGGTGAGTGAGCTCTGCTCCCCGGGACCCGTGCGTGCGCAGGAAGGGCCGTACTTCAGCAGCGGCTCCTGGCGGGTTTGGGGGCTGCTTCGGATGTACTTTTTAAGAGATCCTGCCTCTTGCTTCCACATGATTTCTTCCTTGTGCCATTCTGTTTCCTCTCAGCACGTAAAGTTCAAGAGTTTCTTGTTCCTTTGGGGCTCCCAGGTCTCCCTCGGCAGAGGTGCATCAGGCAGGCTCTGTGGGGTCAGGACAATGGATGCATGTTACACATACAGAGAGGAAGGGGAACACTAAACTTCATAATGGAGCAAGCCAAAGCTATCTAGATTTCTTTAAAAAGCAGCTGCATGCTGACCCTGTTAGAACAAGCCCTCCACCATCCTTACCCCCAGAGCCGCTAGGCTTGGTGAAAGGAAGGCATGGTCCACCATCCCTCAGTGCTTCCCCGAGGCTTCCTGAATGACATCTGGTGGCAGGAGCTATGGTGAGACAGATGCTCGCTTCTAGGAAAGCATTATCCCTCTGGCAGGGTAGAGAGGGTGGGCTCTCCCCAGAGATACAGATCAGACAGCATAGGTTTGCCTGGATTTTGAGCAGTCCCAGAGAGGAGAAGCATTGGGAACTGGTGGTTAATGTAGCAGACAAAGGAGTATGGCTCTCTGGCTAGGATTTTGGATGAGGCAGACAGATGCCACATAAAAGCCCTATTACTCCCATTCCCTGTGGGTTCCTCTATCCCCACTCCCAGGTTCTCAGGAGAAGAGAGGGGACCTTCCCACACGTCCCATGGCAGCAGTGTCCCTGCTCACAGGGGCACAGATGGGCCTTGAGCACTACAACATTCAGAGCTTCTGATTTGTGTATTGGCAGTAATTCAGACATAAAACAAGATATATGAGCTTCATTCTCTTTGAGCATAGTAGGGAGAAGAGAAGAGAAGAGAAGAGAAGAGAAGAGAAGAGAAGAGAAGAGAAGAGAAGAGAAGAGAAGAGAAGAGAAAAGAGAAGAGAAGAGAAGAGAAGAGAAGAGAATATGCGTAGGAAGCGTTTCTTTACTGAGAGGGTGGTCAAACACTGGAACAGGATTCCTAGAGAGGTAGTCAATGCTCTAAGCCTGTCGGTGTTTAAGAGGCATTTGGATAATGCCCATAATAACATGCTTTAACTTGGTCAGCCCCAAACTGGTCAGGCAGTTGGACTAGATGATCATTTTAGATCATTTCCAGCTGAAATGGAATAGACTAGACTAGAATAGAATAGACTATTTCAGTTGGAAGGGACTTAAAACAATTCAGGTTCCTGTGAGGCACAGAGTGGTGGCAAGTCCATCCCAAACAGGCTATGGCCAGACCTGGCCAAGAAGCAAATAATCTGTGATGGACTGGAGAAGCAGGGCAAGGAGATGGCTTCTATCAGTTTGAGATTGTGAGGCTCTGTTGGCTCTCATCTAGATTGTTCATGCAAATCATTTTATGTATTGTTATTTTACAGCAAATCTTGCTGGACTCTCCCTATTTCCATGATGCTCACAAAGTCCACATAGCTGCATAAAA